TGCGTGTTGGAATTCACGTGCCCTCTGAGCAGCCCTGGGAGGCAGGTAGTTCACTCACCATCCCAATTTGACAGAGAATACAGAGACAACACAAAACACAGAGAGTCACGATGCAGACTGGGGCGGAGGGTGGGCGGGGGGTGGGGGGGTGGGGGGGGCTGAGCGGGGGATGCTCTGTTGACAGGTCCCCTGTGGACTAAGCAGCACTGGCCGGGAACGACTGAGTCTGGGTTCCCAGAAGCACCAGTAAAGCCCCACTTGACACCAGAGTCCATGGTAAGGGGAGACTGAGCGAGCAAAGGTTTGTCCGTGTGCACGACTGTCCCCATGGCAGGTGACAAAGGAGCCGTGAGTACAGCCCATCCTGGAAAGCTGCTACTTCTGACAGCGGGGGTCCAATCGGGACACAGAAAGTTGACAATAATTCAAAGAGGACAGGTTTGGGGCTGGAGCAATAGCACAGCGGGTTGGGCGTTTGCCTTGCACGCGGCCGACCTGGGTTCGATTTCCAGCATCCCATATGGTCCCCTGAGCACCGCCAGGAGTAACTCCTGAGTGCAGAGCCAGGAGTAACCCCTGAGCATCGCCGGGTGTGACCCAAAAAGAAAAAAAAAAACACACAAAGAAGACAGGTTTATAGGCAGGGGGGTATAGCCCAAGCTGAACATTTGCCTTGCAGGCATAAAACCCAGGGTTCAATACTTTGTATACACATGTGCTCACACACACACACACACACACACACACAAACACACACACATGCCCCAGTTCACTCTCAAGACGAAGGTGGGGGCTGGGGAGCCAGGACTTAGGGACCAGAGAGAGAGTACAGTAGGTCAGCAGGTAAGGCACTTGCCCTGCACGCAGCTGACCTGGGTCCAATTCCTGCCACCACATATATCCCCGGAGCACTGCCAGGAGTGAGCCCTGAGCATAGTCAAACTACTCACTACTCCTGGCCAAAAAAAACGGGGGAAAGAGGGGAGAGCCAGGATTAAAGAGGACATGTTTAACACAAGAGATATTTAAAAAATAATTTTCTGAAATCAAAGGTCACAGGAAAACAATTAATGTTCCTACATAAAAAATAGTCATTTATAGAAACGATAAAAAATAAATAAATACGCTGGTGGCTCAGGAAAATGGTGGAAGAAAAACTGCAGACCTAGAAGTTGAGAATACAGGCCACAGGGAGCCCCAAGAAAATCAAGGACAGAATAATCAATACCGAAACCTATCCCGGCAGGACTGAGCTCCAAGGGCAAGTAATCCCAGGAGCAGCAAGTGACCGTCACAGGTGAAAGAATCAAGACACCAGGGGCTGGAGCGATAACACAGCAGGTAGGGCGTTTGGCTTGCACGCGGCCGACCCGGGTTCAATTCCCAGCATCCCATATGGTGCTCTGAGCACCACCAGGAGTAATTTCTGAGTGCATGAGTCAGGAGTAACCCCTGTGCATCGCCGGGTGTGACCCAAAAAGCAACAACAACAAAAAAATAATAATAATCAAGACACCAGTGAGAGAAACAGAAATCAGGGGCCTGCTTCCCGAAAACAGGCATTTTTAAAAACATGAAGGTTAGCAAAGCAATAAGGAAAACGTTCCCAGAGAAAGTAAGGGGGAAGGCCAAGAACTGTGAGCCCTCCAGCCACCCCTCAAGCTGGAGGCAACCAGACACCCAGTGTCCCCTCAGGAGACCAGAAGGACGAAAAGCGGCTCTTGACAAAATTCCTGAGAAGAATAATTCAGAGCTACGTTTTTTTTTCTATAACAGATCACAAACCTGCTTTTTTTTTTTTTTTTTTTTACTTTTTGGATCACACCCGGCGATGCTCAGGGGTTACTCTTGGCTCAGCACTCAGAAACCACTCCTAGCAGTGTTGGGGGACCATATGGGATGCTGGGAATCGAACCCAGATCGGCCGCGTGCAAGGCAAACGCCCTACCCGCTGTGCTATCGCTCCAGTCCCAAACCTGCTTGTTTTTGTTTGTTTTATTTTGTTTTGTTTGGGCGCCATACCTGTGCTGCTTGGGGTAGGAGGGTACTCGGGGACCTCGCCTGGACACACTTGGGGGTTCATATGCAGTACCAGGGGTGGCATCAGCATTGCAGTCCAAGTGTCCGTGTGCAAGGCAACTACCTCCTCTCTCTGGCCCAAGTCTCATACTATTTTTTTTTTATATCCCACAAATGAGTGCAGTCCTTCTATGTCTGCCCCTCTCCTTCTGACTCATTTCACTCCGCATGACACTCTCCATGTCCCTCGACTGATAGCAAAGTTCATGACTTCACTTTTCCTAACAGCTGTGCAGTATTCCACTGTGTAGATGTCCCATAGTTTCTTTAACCAGTCATCTGTTCCTGGGCTCTCAGGTTGTTTCCCCGATTCTCACTATTGCGCCACCAGGTTTTTAATCAATAAAATAAATCTCCAAAGACAAGCGAGCCGACATGGATTGCATAAGGCCTCAAGATAAACCAGCTCTTGCCACGGCCATCCCGGTCCCTTCAGAAACAACTGAGGATTCTGGCAAAAGATAAACACAGAGGAATGCAGCTGTGCCCTCCCCAGGTGTAGGGGAAATGGCGTTGTGACACAAACGATTCGCTGAGCTCTATGGGGACAATGCACCAGGCTTAACTGCAACTGAGAGGAATCTCACACACTGGGGGCCGGGTTCTGCAGGGGCATCTGAGAATAAACACACCAGGGTCACAGCTTAAGACTGGCCACTCCCTGTGCTTGACCTTCAAACTAAAAAAGAACTAAAGGGGAAAAAACACATGTACGTGTATGTATACACACACATATGTATGTATATATACATTTGTGTCTATGTGTCTATGTATAGAGTGAGACATTTTATGTGTATAGATAAATATATACACCGAGAGATAAAGTGTCTCACAGGCTGCCGGGTGAATGACACTGTCTCTCTGTTACTGATTAACCTCAGTCCCTGTAGGGTGACCAAGCTATCCCTGCTGTGCTAGAGGTGGAAGGTCATGCACATGGAAGTACACTTTCCTTTCCTCACGAAGTAGGTGGCATCTGTCACCGGCTCCCTACTACACTGTCCCTTCCTCCAGGTTTCCCAGGGAGATCAAGGATTCCGGTGAGAATGCTGACAACAATAAGAGAAATACACATTGAACAAGCAACAGAGAGCAAAAAGATAACATGATACTATGCCCAGCACCCAGGCCAGTGTAAGAGATGCCACATGGTGTTACCTAAGCAGACAAATTCGCACCCGGGCCTGCTGGATTCTCTTTGGCCCATGTCTAACTGCATCCTGAGGGAGGATGTGAACGCAGGAACAGGACACGGCTGCCCAAAGAGAGCTGCGGCCACACAGCCAAATTACAGGGTGTCCAAAACAAGCAACAGGAAAGCAACTTCCACTGAGTAAGAAACACTGAAAACTGTATTTTGCTTGGCGGGGAGGGAGAGAGGCCAAGCAAGGAAGACAGGAAAAGTGAGCAGGGGAGGGACCCACCCCACACCAAACCACATCAAAGGACGCAAGGCTGTTTCTGGGCTGACAGGGGATAAAACAGCCCTGATGGAGGGCTGGGCCCAAGACAGACAGCTGGCCAAGGGACGACACCCATCATCACTCCAGGGACTAATGCCACCGTTGCAGGTTGCAAAGGGACCCAAGTGTTTCAAAAGCATGAGTTTCTCCAACTCTCCTGTGCTGGGGAGGCCAAGGAGAGGAAGGGGGTGGGGCTCTCAAAGCAAAAAGAACTGCAGCTCAATCGGATGCCATTTCTGCATGTCCAGGGAGGCGGGGGACTGGGGGTGAGGGGGCAACCCTGAGCCATTAAGAATAACAAAGCTACTTTCTTCAAAGTTAATTAATCCCGCAGGCAAAGTCCCCTCTTTAATTCTATTGTTATATAACCAGGACCTGATAAGATACTATCAGTGTTCCCGCCAATGTTCTAATGAGCCCATGTGGAAAAAACAAAATCTGAAGTCATAAAGTCTTCAGGTTGGAAGACACATTCATCCCCAGTTCTCCTCCATGGCCCCAGGTCCAGCCAGGTCCAGGGAGGGCAGCAGCTCCGGCCCTGAGGACAGACACCAGCCTGGCCCCCTGGTCCTGGCTGACAGCTGCCAGCCCTTTCTCCAACGCCCGTGAAACCATCTGCTGGGCCCAGAACACCCAGACTTCTCTGCACACAAACCTCTCCAGCCCACTTATAACGTATTTAAGATGAACCCTGAAAGGAGGAGGGGACAGGAGCGGTGAAAGTGGAGCCCGTTTAAAATTTACTCGGGCAGAAGAGTTATGCTGTTGTTAAAAAAAAAAAAAATACAAGTTTTCTAGCAGTACAGATTCATTCGGGAAGCTTAAGGGGGTAAAAATAAACAAATAAATAAATAAATAAAGGTTTTGGTTTCATTTAAAACCCAGAGAACTCAAGAGCTGCTGCCCAAAGTACTGAATCCTCTGCAGAGGATGCGGTGGTGCCCAGCGGCCTGCCCCCTTGCAGAACGGCCCCCCAACTCCGGTGCCGCCTCCAGGGGTCGGGTCACTGCCTTCTCAAGTGTGTGGTTTTGGACACGGGGGAACTCGGGAGCCCGCCAGCGAGAACCCCAAGCCCATGAGCTAGAACCCAAAGCCACCACCACCACCACCACCACCAGCAGCACCAGGTATTTCAGCGCCCGCCGTTCCCAGGCGCGCGTGTGCGCCCTTGCACCCGTCACCAGGCGGGGAAGCCAGGTCGGGCTCCCCCGCAACCCACCCCCACGCACCCCACCCCGCCTAGAGCCAGGTCTAGGCCGTGATCGTGGCAGAGGCGCTGCCCGGGGGTCACCGTCCCTGTCCCCCCACTCTCCTCCCCCCCCACATACCCGCAGCCCCAGCCGGAGACGGCGGCGGCAACTGCACGCGGCGAGGATGCTCCGGGCGCGGACAGACCCCGGCCCGCCCCGCGCGCCTCCCCGCGCTGCCCCCGCTGGCCCCTGGGCGGCCACTCCTTACCCGGCAGCTTGAGCGCCCTGGACAGCACGGTCGCCATGGCGGAGGCCCCCGGCGCGCCTGCGCCGCCGTGCAGTGTAGACGGGCTGCGCGCGGGGCCGGGACCCGGCGCTGGTGGGATGGGCCCCGGTGGGTGCGCGTGCGCCGGCCGTGCAGTGTAGACGGGCCGCGCGTGGAGTGGGCGGAGGGGGGGTGGGCCGAGACCCGGTGCGCGTGCGCCGCCGTGCAGTGTAGACGGGCGGTGGCGTGGGCCCCGGTGGGTGCGCGTGCGCCGCCGCCGTGCAGTGTAGACGGGCCGCGCGTGGGGGGTGGGGGGACAGAGACCCGGTGCGCGTGCGCCGGCCGTGCAGTGTAGACGCGCCGCGCGGCGCACCCGGCCCGGAGCCTACGCGGCGGCAGGTAGTGACCGCGGCGGCCCCCGCTGGCCAGTGCCCGGCGGGGCTGGGGGCGCGTGGCTACTCAGCCTGGGCCCGCGCGACCCTCCCGGGCACGGCGCTCGGCAGGAGGGAGCCCGGCCGGGGATGCGACCTGTGTCTTCTAGGGAAGGACGGTGTCGCCGCCTTCGCCCGCTGCCGTTTCAGTGACGTCAGCGGCTGGAGGCGCGCGGGGGCCCCCGACCTGGCCGCCTCCAGCTCTGAGGGTCTCAGGGAGCCAAGCGCGTCATTGCACCTTGCTGGAAAGGTGCGTTTTTGGGGGGTGGGGGAGTGGGGGGTGGTCTGTCCTTCCAGGGGCAGCTCGTGCTACCCGCCTGTTTATGGGACGGAATATGCACCTTAGAACATATGGTGGCTCTCTACCAGATATATATATATATATATATATATATATATTTATATATATTTTTTTAAGGTTACATTCACTCTTGGGGTGAAGGGAGGAAGGGGGAAAAAAGTATGTTCACTCCTAACTTGCTCTGGGATTTTGTCCATTTTCAAAACTTGAATGACTGTCTTCTCTGATTTGGGTTAAAAATCACTTGGCAGTCAATCATCACCAATGAACCTTGGCCCCACTTTGATTGATTTCTGTTCTGATCATTCCATTGGCCATTCCTTTGCGTTTTATTTGGACCAAGCGATAAGAATTAAATTTGCTCTATGCCTGCCAAGGGCTGGGGGGAACTGGTGGAAGGTGGTTGACACGGATGGTGGGATTGGTGTTGGGACCTTGGATGCCAGAAACAGTTATTATGAACAACGTTGTCAGTCCCAGGGTCTTAAAACGAAGAAAAAGAAAATTCACCTTAGATGTTGTGACTTTTTAGTGCCATGTAAGAGTGCAGAGTTTGGGGCCAGAGAGATAATACAGCAGGGAGGGCACTTACCTAGCAGCTGCCAACCCAGGCTCCGTCCCAACATCCCATATGGTCCCCCGAGCACCACCAGGAGTAATTCCTGAGCACAGGACCAGGGATTTACCCCTGAGCACTGCCGGGTGTGGCCCAAAAGTCTAAATAAATTTAAAGTGCCGATATGTCTCTGCCTGGGCCCCCATGTCACTCCCATGATACACGGCCAGGCCATGCTCTCCTGTGGGTGACACTTGAGAAACTCTAGCCGAGGTCCCCACAGCCCGTATCCAAGAGACCATGCTTCTGGCTCGGATCCAGGTCACTCAGCTCTGCTGCCAGGGCGATGGCCCGGTATTTGATCTCTCTCTCTCTCTCTCTCTGCCTCACTTTCCCCATCTGTAAAATGGAAGTGAACTCATTGCTGTTCTGTGGAGTTGTCCCGAGAACTCCACAGATAGGAGAATTAACTTAGAACTGTGCCTGCCACGTCGTATACGGTTTATAAGTGTTAGTTGACTCTTTTATTAATAATTTATTCACATATCCAATTTTGCAATTCCACATAATAAAAAATGCAGCACTGTAGCACTGTCCTCCGTTGTTCATCGATTTGCTCGAGCAGGCCCAGTAACGTCTCCATTGTGAGACTTGTTGTTACTGTGTTTGGCAAATCGAATCCGTCACAGGTAGCTTGCCAAGCTCTGCCGTGCAGGCGAGATACTCTCGGTAGCTTGCTGGGCTCTCCGAGAGGGGCGGAGGAATCGAACCCGGCTCAGCCGGGCTGGCTGTGCGCAAGGCAAACACCCTACCATTGTGCTATCGCTCCAGCCCATAATAAAGAATAAAGTCAATGATCCGATGCGTTTGTTTTGCCCTCCATCCTTGACAGTTCTCTCTGCCACTGCTCAGGCAGTAAGAGCAGGAAGCAGGCGGTGTAGCCGGGTGGATTGCTCAGCGCTCAGGGTTGCATAAGCTGAGACCTAAATTCAAACCTTGGCACCACATGCTCCCCCCAGCACTGCTGGATGTGGCCCAGTGATCCCCAAAACTGTAGGGCCTGAGAAACCCCATCTCCGCCTGTCCTCCCCTGGAAACACCCCTCCGGACTGGTGAGGGATCGCTGGGAGAAACCCTCAGGGCAGCTGAGCACTGCTGGGAGCACACACACACCCCTCCTGTTTTTTAAATAAGAAGGAAACATGTTATATCTGTATAGGTCATCAGGAACAAGGCCACACATGGTAGAGACATGCCTGATAGCAGATGGGCCGATTGCAACACCCTCTTGAGATGAGGAAACAAAGGGGAGAAGTGGCTTTATTTTTGAGTTTGTTCTTTATCTTGTTGGTTTTGGGGGTTGCACACAGTGGTGCCGGGGACTGCTGAAGCTGCCTTTGGGTCAGGGGTTGCTCCCAGCAGCGTCCAAGAGGCCCTGCAGTGCCAGGGATCCAACCCAGGCCTCCCGTGGGACCTGGGGGCTGTGTCTGGCACCTAGGATACATTTTATAGGTGCTAATTAACTCTTTCATTAATAATTTATTCTCGTATTTAATTTCGTCATATCACTTAATAAGTCATAAAGTTAATTCCAAGCAGTCACAAAGGCATTGGGGTCCTGTCCGTTCACACAGATGTAACCTGCCGGTCCTCTCAAGTGACCTGGTGGCAGGTGAGTGTCTTCGATGCCCTGAACACTGCTGAGGTCACTGGGGCTTCTTAGCTTGAACTTGGCTCACTGCCCAATGCCCACTCAGAAGTACAATGGGTTGGGGGGAGGTTACTGTGGGCAGCTGACCTGGCTGGTGCCAGGCTTGCTCACGATCACGATCACCACCATCCTATTGTTCGTCGATTGCCTCGAGCAGGCCCCAGTAATGTCTCCTTCGTCCTAGCCCTGAGATTTTAAAAAGTGCCATATTCAAGGCTCTTTCAGGGTTAGAAGAATGACACCCATCATTGTTACTGGTATTTGGCATATTGGGTACGCCACGGGGAGTTTGCCAGGCTCTGCCGTGTGGGCAGGTTACATTCGGTGGCCTGCCAGGTAGTCCAAAGTAAGAATGAGATAATAAGATCCGAGGAGGCTTGGAGATCTCAGCCCCGGGACCCGCATGCCTTTGTTCCTCTGCCAGTACCTTCATGTGTGTGGTGCCAGGCTTGCTCAGAGGGGAAGAAACTTCCTTTCTGAAGAGCCCCGTTGCCCCCAACACAATGATCTGCAGTGAGGTCCCTTCCCTCCCTCCCCGTGCCCAACAGCGGGCAGAAGGAACCCATACTTCCTGCTTCTTACAGCCTTGACCATATTCCAGACACCGACCAAAATCTCTGAGCATCTCTGTGTGCCCGCAGTCACATCTGGCCGGCCAGCATTCGCTGGACCCCGCGGCCTCTTCCCCTGAGCCATTCCCTGCCCTCAGCTCTCCTGCTTCCTCCTACTACACTTGCTTTCCTGGGCCTCTGTCCCTGTGGCTACGTTTGCTGCTTCCCCCAACCCCCCACACCTCCCAGCACCAGGCCTTGAACACAGGGGCCTCATATAGGCAAGAAGACAAACTCTCTGTCTCTGAACCACATCCCCAACACCCCCCAAAAAACAGGTCTCTCTTCCCTACATGGTAGACACCCCCTGTGGAATGCCACTCTGCTGGGGTCTCTCCTCCGTCAAACATAGATGGAATTGCAGAGAATCACAGTAAGTGACATCAATCAGAAGGGGAAGTGCCACCTGATCTCATTCACATGTGGCCTATAAAGAAAGCAGGGGACAGAGGAACCAAAACAAATCCCCTAGACTCTGCAGCACCGAGATCCTGGGGGGTGGGAAGTTGGCATCATATTGGGGAAGGGACCCCGGTGGACTGTTGGGAGTAACATACACCTGATGAGATGTGAAACTGTCATTCAACACACCATCTTGGGGCTGGAGCGATAGCACAGCAGGTAGGGCATTTGCCTTGCATGCGGCCAACCCGGGTTCGATTCTCAGCATCCCATATGATCCCCCAAGCACCGCCAGGAGTAATTCCTGAGTGCAGAGCCAGGAGTAACCCCTGTGCATCGCCGGGTGTGACCCAAAAAGCAAAAACAAAACAACACAACACACCATCTTGTAAGCATTGCTACCTCACTTTTTAAAAACTCACTCCTCGGTTTGCTCCATGGCTTGGAAGCGGCCCCACATGCTGGGGGAAAAGGCAGCTCAGATAGAGAAGGGAACACCAAGTAAATTGTGGTTAGAGGACCCCCTCGGGATGGGGGATGTGAGCTAAAAGTAGACTATAGATGGAACCCGATGGCCACTCAATACCTCTATCCAAACCACAACACCCAAAAGGAGAGAGAGAACAAAAGGGAATGCCCTGCCACAGAGGCAGGGGGAGGGGTGGTGGGTGGTGGGAGGGATACTGGGATCATGGGTGGTGGAGAATGGGCACTGGTGGAGGAAGTACTTGAGCATTGTATGACTGAAATGCAAGCACAGAAGTTTGTAAGTCTGTAACTGTACCTCACAGTGATTCGCTAATAAAAAAAATTTAAATTGGCTGGAGCGATAGCACAGCGGTAGGGTGTTTGCCTTGCACGCAGCCAACATGGCCGACCCGAGTTCGATTCCTCCGCCCCTCTCGGAGAGCCCGGCAAGCTACCGAGAGTATCTCGCCCGCACGGCAGGGCCTGGCAAGCTCCCCGTGACGTATTCGATATGCCAAACACAGTAACAACAAAGTCTCCAATGGAGATGTTACTGGGCCCACTTGAGCAAATCGATGAACAACGGGAGGACAGTGATACAGTGATACAGTGATACAAATAATAAATAGAAAAATAATTAAAAAAAAAAAACAAAGACTGTCCTCCCATTG